CGTTGGATTCAGTGTTTAATCAAGCATGAATTTCAAGGAATTTTTAGAAATATATCACGCTGATGTAACCTAACGGTTGAAAGGCGTTCCCATAAAGTAAACTTGAAAGAGATTTGTTTAATTTTGATTACTCGTTAATATACGGGAGACAGTATGATATCAATAATATCACCATACCAACTAAAAGCCAGTTTACTCGAGAACTCTTCAATGTCATCCTTAAGTTATTTTTAGCATATAATTTATACTATTATAAAAGAGAATGATATAATAGAGAAAAGTATTCTGTCGCTTTTTATATCGTATAAGTGACAATGCTATTCGAACGTAATGTGTAAGAAAATTGGACTAATCATACTTGTTCCTATATCTACTAGGTTGCATCATTGATTATACAGTCAACTTTTTTTCTTTATGAGATTGAATAAATTCTTTTGTACACCTTGGACTCCAAAAGTATTACTTGTGTACAATACTGTGAGATGCGATGAACAGATTTTGTTAATAAAATATTTTATGATGACTATAATTGATCTTTTTTTCTTATATAAATAACAGTTTTAATATAGACATTAGCCATGTCTCGCACACACAAAAATTAATGCATACACGTACATATCCCACACAGCACAGACAGATAATTGCAGGAAGATTACAGAAATGTTACATTGCAAGATTGCAAGATTGCAATATTGCAGCAACGTTGCGCAACATTGCTGCAACGCTGAAATGTCTGCCCTCGGAGAGATTGCAGTGCAACATTATAGCAATGTTGCAGTGCAATATTTTTGGAATAATTTGTTTGTTATACATAAGCTGAGGATCAACGAAAATAACATAAAATTTTCGTAATTAGAAAGATTTTTTTAATAGAAAATATAGTACTTTGATTATTTTTGAAGCATTGCTGCAATATTGCTATTGAAAGTTCGCAATTTTATATTCCTGTAATGTCTCTGCAAGATTGCAACGTTTCTGCAATGTAACTGCAACCATCTGTGCTGTATGGGATACGTGGTAGTGTGAAATCACGGCGGACAAGTACTGTGATCAACTCACTCGACTTGATGTGGCTATTCGAGAAAAACGTTCGGGTTTGGCCTATCGGAAAGGTATATCATCTTCCGCCACGGCAATGCTAGACCGCACATCGCCCAACAGACGCTGCAAAAACTGTAGGAGTTGCAATGGGAAATTTTCCAGCAACCAATGTATTCTCCAGATATTGCGTCTTTAAATTATCATCTGTTCCGGTCTTTGCAGAATAGTTTGAATAGCGAAAATCTTAAGTCCGAAGAAGCTGTCGAAAACCACCCCACAAACTTAAAAAAAAACCAAGCCCTTCAAAAATGGAATCAACAAGCTTGTAAATCGTAGGAAAACAATTATATAGAAGAAGACTATATAATTGATTAATAAAACTGTATTCTTTAAAATTTAGGCTATTGAGGTTTATTTTTAAATCGGGTACGAACTTATGCAATCATTCAATATCTACGCACAAATAAATAAGTACTGCTGCAGCTGTTCCACAATTCAAATGGCAGCGCAACGTAGTACAGTAACACGTGTTGAACCCGAAATGAAGCTAAAATAGAGAAAATACAAGCCTAGTGTTGACAATGCGCAACTCTACAAATACGAGTGAACGTATACATATAGTTTATCGCGTTAAAAATGTGGGCAAAATATACCCCATACAGCACAGATGGTTGCAGTTACATTGCAGAAACGTTGCAATCTTGCAGATTGCAATGCAATCTTGCAGAGATATTGCAGGGATATAAAATTGCAAACTTTCGATAGCAATATTGCAGCAATGTTTGAAAAATAATAAAAATACTATATTTTTTATTTAAAAAATTTTTCTAATTACGAGAATTTTATAATGTTATTTTCGTTGATACCAATAATGCGCGAATTATTAAGTATACTTGATCAGTGCGGTGTTGCTCGCAATCTCCATCTATTGCGAAGCGACATAATCTCCTTAGGTTGCTTCGCAATAGCTTGCTGTGTATTGAAAAAGGCCCGGATGCATATGTAATTAGTAAATTCTCTGCTTATGTACAACAACAAATTATTCCAAAACTATTGCACTGCAACATTGCTATAATGTTGCACTGCAATCTCTCTGAGGGTGGACATCTCAACGTTGCTACAATCCTCCAGAAACGTTGCAGCAATGTTGCGCAACGTTGCTGCAATACTGCAATCTTGCAATGTAACATTTTTGCAATCTTCCTGTGCTGTGTGGGACGAGACGCGATAATAAACTAGTGATAAGAATAATAATTTATTTTTACGATAATAATATTAGAAGCTAGTGTGTTAGAAGCGTGCAGTTTTAAACAATATACGTACACATTAATTACAATAACTTAAGTCAAAAAGGTAAGTAATATTAACTATATGAACAAAGAAACTAACAGCTAGTCCAACATATACGTGAAATTTTTTAGTATTTTTTATCTATATATTAAGTTCTTTTCTTTTTATTGACCTCATATTTCAAAAGGACGAGAAACTTTACGTTCAGACACTAATCAGGTTGTTATATCAGTGGTCAAAATAAACCCTAGGGGTTTTATTTAATAAAATCAAAGTTGACCTTCATAGGAGCCTTAAGGCCCATTTCAAGGTCACAAAAAGATGGTTTCTTCACGATCTCTACAACTTTTTATTCGAGTCATTTTCCATGAAAGTGTGTACTTCTGGAGATGATAGGGGGAGTTCCATTCTTTTCAAATCAACCCTGTCTGTATATACTATACACAGGATAGAGTTCCGTCTGGGCCGTCGAGCGGTTCACACGTCTTCCGAAGATAAATTTTTGATCCTGCGGGATTGCATCATCCCGCGCGTGGCCCGGTTACCGGGCCATTGCATCATTCAATTCACTACATTCCACTCAGTGTCTGTGAGCCGGGAGCCAATAACCAGAGAAGAAGAAGATATACATAGGATAAAAATCTCACTGCTACCTGGACAGACGAGAAAGTGAATATCGAGTTTGTACAAACTTCTCATTCAGTTTTCAGAACCTACAAGAAAACAGTCGATTTAATGTTTGAGTTTAAGAACATGTATCCTGATACAAGCAAGTCCGACGGTCCGACAAAAGCACAAAAAACCAAGGAAACGTAATTATTCAACAATTTCGTGTAAATGCAGAATACAAGATATATAATGTTGGGCGATAAAAATATTTCTTACAATATATAGAGTCGCATTTTATTGAACTTGATATTATAAAGAGGAACTTGTAAGAAACTACTAGGTGCTACTTGCTAAACGTATAAAAGATTAAAATAACTATTATTTTTTTTAAACATTACATTTTATTCCACAATAAAAATGCACTTATACCTGTGAAATCGTGGATAAAAATCTTACGTTTTTAAATAGAGCGTTTCGATAGTCCGTGTGTTGTATTGTTCCATCGCCGTTAGTTTTGAACTTCGATATAGGCACTTGACAAAAACGTTTAAGAAAATGATTCGCAATCGATGCGCAGTGTACACCATGAGAATTCACATAGATTATAATTATATATATAATACATAAGAACTAGTGACAATTTTATTCGGTAATATATGACCTTTGGTTATTTGAAAGTGAAAATATCGTTACTTTTACTACATGTCAACACCAGTCTAGATATATAGGAAGATGAAATTGCTTTTGGCATCACGACGGTAACAGTTTAACGATTTAAATGCACTTGGACATGTAACAGCATTTCTCCCTTTATCTGTATATGTGCGCGTACAAAAATACATTGTTCCGTTGAAATATATATCTACCGCGATTACAACGAATTAGGCCATGAAAAGGTAAGGCACGCGCAGATTCCTGCATAACTCATGTGAGACTGTACAACTGTCCATAAAAAAATCTTATAAATTCTATGCAAAAAGTATACTTCCAACAGCAAACGTTAAGGCGGAAGATGGAAAATTTGATTTATCGCACACTTTCAACAATCTTATATAAATATGTATCATAAAATAATTTAAATAGAAAATTACTTAGATTCTACACTTGTATATACTCATTGTCACAATGAAACGGCGCGCAATTGCAAGGACGCACAAAAATGACATTGTTGTTTGTCTCCCCTTCGCCACGTCTTCTCATTTCAAGCATGCGGGCTTAAAGTATGATGCAGGTGCTTTTCTCACGAAAGGGATTGGATTTCTGCGACGAGAAGCCCACCAGCAGGCAGTCCTCCTGTTCGTGCTCGGTAATGTATTTCATGATATCCTCGACGGCTTTGCTCACCGTGATCCGCTTCAGAGCGGCCTCGCGGCGCAGCTGCTCCGTCACTTGACGTTGCTGTTGTAAATTCGTGATCACCATGTCCATAACAGCTGTATGCGGGAGGGACAAATCAGAAAGTGACAAGTTTTCACACGGATAAAACGGAAAAACGCGTAAGAGAGAGAGGTCATGAATTTGAAAGCTAACCTGGACCTGGACGTACGATGCTCGAACAACGCTTTTACAGATCGCAAAATACTCTTTCTCTCTCTCTATCTATCTCTTGATAACCCCGAGTTTTCTCTGTTGCAACAAGTAATTCGTTGACCACACTCTCACGACCGGTCCTCGAGCTCCGCGATCTTCTTGATTCGTTTTTATCCTTCTTGGGCCAATCCCTTAAGGCCTGTGTCCATGATGCCAGAATTTGGTCCAAGTTCTAGTTCCGAGAAATGTGTAGCCAATCAACTTGCGGCTTTTATGGAATAGCTTAAGTCCCAGTCTACAATAGAGATTTAAGCCCTAAGCCTTAAGAAATTGACTAATCACAGTCGCGCATTCTACTCATACTTGACCGTGATTGGCCAATTTCTTAAAGCTTAGGGCTTAAATCTCTATTGTAGACTGGGACTTAGTCCCAGTCTACAATAGAGATTTAAGCCCTAAGCCTTAAGAGGATCCCGT